AAATATATTATTTGACAAATAATTCCCGATCAGAAAGTTTTTCCATTATTTTTTTTTGTTGGCAATGGAAAGGGATATTTTTGAAAGCCGGCCGGTGATGATTTTCTCGCTTCAACACAAGACGAGGACTGTTATTTGTAGGAAGGACGGCAGCGTTGTCAGAGGTCACACACACACACACAAAAAAAAGACTATTTTCACCGGATTGAATTGTTTCGGTCATTTGATGGACGGCACACATGGTAAAACGGCACAAAGATGGCGGACCGGTTTGGTTTCCCCGATGGGGGTGTACAGGTCACGATGCTGCTGTAGTGAACTAACTTAAGCAAATTTTTTTGATACGTGACCCAATTTGAATATTTTATATCTCTCCCTCTGTTTTTGGCCCTGGCCACAAAAAATAAAGTTCTTCCTGTTTTTGTTCAGCGCTGTGGAGGCAACAATTGGAACCAGTATTGCGTAACTCCAGCCTACACATAGGAGTAATGGTGCCAAGAAGGCCTTCCCATCACTTGGTATGTTCACTCGGCCTTCCATTTTCCTGCACTGAACTGGGGCTCTGGCTTGGATTTAATTTCAGCCAAATAGTGGGTACGGGGGGCCAACGAAAGGGGAGGAGTAATGTTCACCAGGAATTTTAATAAGTTGACTTTTTGGTGGGTTTTGGGACAACCTGGTGATGCCAAACTGATATATTACGGAGCATCCCCTACCCCGGAGTACATCAAAATGTTCATTTTCTTTGGCCTATGTGGTGATTGGTTCATCTGCTCCTTGTCTCTGGGGGTCTACTATGGAAATGTAAAAAAGTGTGAGGTTGCCCCCCCCCCCCTTTTGTGGGTGGAGCTTTCTTCGTCAAGGTGGCCATTTCTGAACGGCTTTCTAACTATGCAACTGAATCCTCCTGAGTCTTGTCCAGTTTACAACTTTTTGAGGATATATATTTTTGTTTTTTTTCTCCTATGTGCTTGATTTCTGAGTCGGTATCTCTGGTGGCTTTCAGGTCAATGTCATCACCACGGAGCTTTTTCTGGATCTCCCGCTTTAAGACGCGTTCAGATCCCTTGGGAATATTTTTGCGATTTTTGTCTATTTTTCTGTGGGAGAACATCGGGTCACTCCATTGAAATTTGAATTCAGGTTTTATATCCCAGAGCACAAAAAAAAAAGTTTCTTGCCATGCAATGGATAAACCATGTATATATTTTTTTTCCACATCGTTTTAAACACTGGAGGTCACTCGGCTTTGGCAATGTGAAGTTGGGTAGACTGATGGCACCTCTAGAGTCCTCCTGGAGATGTTTGGAGCCAGTAGGTGACTTGGATTACTAGAAAGTATGTCTGTCTTTTTTTTTTATATCTCGGAATTGGGGTGGAGGGTACAATGTATAATGATGGGCCTCAGAGTAGCCAATCAAAAGGCAATAGTGGTCTGTAACCCAATAAGGGCCATCAGATGAAAATGTAAAGTGGCCAGTGATCATGTGAAGGCAATCTAGCAGGTTGGCTTAGGTACTGTGCATCACAAGCTGTATATGGACTACTAAAGTGGTCCTTCTGGGCTCCTTACTCTTCCACGTCTGTGTCCTGGTTCCTTCCGCTCCCTCTGCCCCCCCTCTAGGCACTAAATTGGTCTAGTAGTGAAACCCACTTGTACTGAACATGTGGTGTATGGCCTTCTGATGCAGGGGTACTTGTCTGGACCTGACCAAGCCGTCAAGGGTATCTAGGTCACAATGATGAGAGAGATTTGTAGCAGCTTCAGAATACCATGGCCTATAATGTGACCACATTCAGCTGCCTCAAAGTCTATTTCTGATTGGCTGCTGTAGGCTACTGCCAGTCTTTGCTAGTTAGACACCAAAAGCTGTCTATTGCAAAGGAAGGTCTGGTGGCTGTCAAGCCCCCAAATCAACTGGCCACAACTTTTTGTTTCTTGATCCGAACCCAATGGGACACGGGAGACCGATTTTAGAAATGGTCTTTTACTCCATCTGGCCGCTAGAAACCGAAATTTGGTTGACACGGGCTTACTAGTCTGGGTGATCTCATCCAATGTGCAACTGTGGTGGCTGGTTTGTGGTTGGAGCCATCGGTTGGCTGGGAAGGGGGGCGGTCACTGAACCAGTCAACCACATGCCATAGGGCAACTATGAGACAGGGCAGTCCATTAAGGTGGGATGGCTCCCTAGTATGTCTGTGGGCCTTATTCAATCTGCTGTTAGGCCTGGATCAGGCCCTCATCTATGTAGACTCTGTAGTCCTGAGGAGTCTAAGCTTCTTTCTGTCTCTAAAGCAGGTTAGGTAAGGAGAGTCTGAAGGGTTACTGGAGAAGAACAGGCAGTACTACTTCCAGGCCCTTCCTGTTTAATGACCAAGAAGGTCATGAATGAGGCCATAGGCACCAGAGGACTGTGACAACCAAGATGGCTTGGACTGGATCAGTCAACCATGACAGCCCTGAGTGCACAAGTTAAATAAAATTGTCCTATCCTTTTGTGTTCTTCCTTTATACATGTAAGCTTGGGCAAGCCAACAGGGCATTTTTATGTGAAGGCGACAGATGCCCCCAGGAAGTCAGACGCCGCCTAAATGTCTGATTTGGTATGGCAAGCTTTCACCGAGACTGGTCCACATCAAAATGTCAGGCAGTCTTATACAACCAATGGCGATTGTTGCTAGTCTTGGACAACTTGGTGGCCACCAGCACTCTACAGCGCTTTCACTGGGCCTATGACTTGTAGACTGCACAACGCATTCATTTACCCCCGGGATTACCTCGGGGCAGCCATGCTGGGTGACCCATTGCCCCCCTGCCTTTTAAACGCGCTCCAGTCTAGTCTTCCTTTTGACATATTCATTAATGTTTAACACGAACCATTTTTTTTTTTATACTTCCTGTAAAGTCATTTTGTTCTCAAACTATGACTTGGAAAAAAAAAGATGTATTATGAAAAGTTACAAAAAATAAAGTTAATTTACTTGAATTGTGAAGTTTGTGTCGCTGTTTGGAGGTTCTAGTTGTTCTGTGTGTGTGCGCATGCTATGCAAGGAAGCAGTCTGCTGGGCAACAGTCCCAGGAAGCCAATACGTATGAATGTTGTTCCCGTCCTTCTGATTGCCTTGCAGACATAACAGGAAGTGAGAGAGATCCTCCCATTACACCGTTACCACTGGGACCCATTGGACCAATTTGTTCCTCTGAAGACTCAAAATTTGGGATTTTCTTCCCTTTCGCTCCCACTGATAATAGTCACCGGGACAAACTGAGAGACTGGCTCTCCCTAATGATGACGCAGACGGCAACAGCCACCTGGCAGAGGTTCTAACTCTTCTCTAATCCATTGACAACTAAACAAAAAGTGGTCTTGGACACATTTTAGAGCCCATTTATTAGAAAGGTCAGAACCTTTTTTGGGGGGTTTTTGTTTCGGTCTGTCCCTAAGGGGGATGGGCTGTAAAGAATATCTTGTAACTAAATACAGTGATGTTAAAGGGTCAGTTCACTTAAAGCCCAACGCCCGGTACAGTGCAAAGTTTTAACCTGGGTAAGGTTATTGAGCCCAGACCCATATCTAAACCCAAAACATTTTTCCCTTCATTTAGGATCGAGTAGAAAAGGATTCAAACCCCCAGTCAGAGTTCTAGTTTTGGTCATCTGTGTTCTGTTGGGGAGATTTTGCTTCACTCCCGGCCTTGTAGACACAACAGGAATTGAGAGGAACTTCTCTCCGTAAGGACACTGTTCTCGCCAGGACAAGAGCACTTATTGGAGGATTTCCCCTCTCTTCCTGTTCTAATCCCAGCGACGGTGAAGAGTAAATCTCCCGATAGAGGACATGGATAAAACTTGACCGGGGTTCTAATCCTTTACCACTCCAGCTAAAACTAAACAAATGGGTGGATAGTGTTCATACTGCTATGTCCCTGTTACCTTCTCTCTATGGTGGACCATGGCAGCAAGAATGAATGCTTATCAGGACCATTTATCTTTTTCAGGGCCCGTTCACACTTTAGAGATCCGTTGCAGAGCATTAGGGGCAGACCATTCATAATGAACCACAATGTTTGTGTGTTGGGGTGCCATTGACAATGCATGGAACCCCAACGCACTGCACATAGAGCAGGTCAGTCACCATGCTTTGCGGCAACACACCACAATGCACAAGTGTGAACGGGCCTCAATGAAGGACCAACTGCGGGGAAGGGGCGGAGCAATTGGAGAATGGATTGATTATGGATGAGCAATTTTCATATTCATGGCACCATCCAAGTAGGTCTATATAGATCCTTACCTGTTCCATGAAGCAGTCACTGGAGACTGAGCAGAGATGCTGGAACTCATTGGATGGTGTTTGGAATACTGCTTTTTTT